AATTCATTTTAAATAGTTTATTTAACATTTTAAAACGTTTCAAATATTATTTTAATTGCTATCATAATTTAAAATAGATTTTTATGAATTAATTTTCATGTAAATAATTCAAATTATAATGAAATTAATAATTATTTTTACATTTAATATGAATTTTAAATCATTTAATATCCACGTGTTTATCATTTTAAATTATGATAATGTTTCTCTTCATATTATGTTTAAATTATTATATAAATAATTTAATTTTTTAATTAATTTAATTTAATTTTAGCAACATTAATTAGTCGTATCGAGTTTTTAAGGCGTAAGGCATTAAAAATATATATATGTATATGTATTTAAATGAATGGATTCACTATCAATTCTTTATTATTGATTTAGGTCACATAATAAACATTAAATTTAATTTATATCCAATAAAAATGGTAATGTGTACCATTAAGAAGAGATTATTATTAATTGATTGTCTGGAATAAAAAAGGAGTCATTTGTTTCAATTTTTTTAAAATCACTTTATTGTAAATCATTCATTTAATCTAAATTTCAGAGGTGACAGAGATTTACATTATGTAGTAAGGTTTGGGTGGGTTTGAAGTGAACTTTGATGTTAGCAGGTTAATGAGACATGACGAAAAGCCCAACTTGATGGCTAAAATGAAACCACACATTTGATTGTTGCCAATTAGTGCACTTTGTAAAGTTGAATAGCACAATTTCTTCTTTATTTTTTCCCCCTTCCTTTAATCTTTATAAGAATCTATAGAAAAACCAGTAATTTCCTTTTCGATCTTCGATACTGCTATGGACAATATGCGGTGATGTTATCAATTACTTCACTAATTTAAGAAGAGAAAAAAGTTTAAAATATATTTTAAAACTCGGTAATCGATAGAAGAGGTGAGTGGTGCTGTGTGTAAGAGGAAAAAAATGCAGCAAAAATTTATCCGTGTGTCAATTAGATACTTATTGTTTTAAAGGTCTAAAAAAATATTTAAAAAATATATTAAACAACATCTAAAACTTTTATTTAGAAAATTACTTTTTGTTTCTGTTTCGATGCGATAATTTTTTTTTCTTTCTGTGTGTTAATTTATCACCATCTTGTGTCAAAAGATGGCAGCAGTTATAAGTCAATGGGAGATTAGCTGTTGCCAGTAGTCAAATTTATAATTGAGTTAATCCTGGCTTTACAACAGTATTACTTTTCATAAAATAGCACATTAATATTCTCTTAAATGACACAATTTATGTACGTTTTTACAACATCTAGAAATTGTGTAAATAATTTTTTTTTATTGTACAGTACGTAGCCAGAAATTTTACTAACATTCACTGTATTTTGGATATAATTTGTAAAAATGGGCATAAAAATATATATAATTAAATTACTGGCTTCATGTTTAAAATGCCTGGAAATTAAAATAATTAATATATTATTACCTGAACACATAAATAACTTTTTATATAAAGTATTTTTAAAATATTTATTTTTTCTATGTTTTATTATATTGTCTATATCACGTCGTAAATAAATAATAAGATTTAATAAAAAATCTTTATTTATTTATAAAATCAAGTATGAAACTTTTATAACAAATATTTTGTTTAAGTTTATTTCAAATATTTATTTGAACTAGAATTAATCTGATAATCTGTGTTTAAAAAGTATTTTTATTGTTTTTTTATTTATTATTTACTAGAAAAAACTTTAAACTAACTAATATTTGAATATACTGTATTTCCAAATCAACCAATCAGGTCATTGCATGATCACGTGTTCGTGACGCTTTGAAGAAAACAAAAATATATTTAAATTTTATTTGTTAATATTTTTTAAAAAATTTTACTTGCGAGTTTATATTAATAATATTAGTCAAAATACACGCGATATATTTAAATTTTAATTTCGTTATAGGCTATATTCTGAATTCATACGTCATAAAATCTACTAATTAGAAAAATCAGTACAGTACTGTTATTATAAAATTTTATTACGTTACGAATGTTTTGTTAACGAGATTAATTTAAAAGTCACGTGGTTTATTTAAACTTAATGATGTCATATATTGAATTTTAAACGTAATCTATACGGAATATGTATATAAGTCTTTATATGGATTGCTTGAAATAAAAAAAATGTGAGATTTTAAAATTTATGACATTCCGAAGCCACTTTATGTATTTTAAATAGTTGATGTCACCTCATAGATCGGTTAAATCCGATGTTATCTTGTCTTAAATCCATGACGTCATGTGCACTTTGAATAGTAAAATATCATACGTACATATTTTAAAATTTATGATATCGTGCCCGTTACGAAACCATTTTTTGAATTTTAAATACGGCAAGGAACGTGATCGTTTTAAATTTTATGTTATCGTTATTTAAATTATGACGTCATTCGATTTTGATCTGATTAGTTCGAATCCTGTTTAAAATTTATGACGTCAAACGACTTACGAGCAACTATTGGAGAACCGATTTAAAAATATAAAAACTAAGCAAGTTATTGGTTTAAAAGTAAAGACGTTTTTCTAAAAAAAAGTTATACGTCACCGATAACTCTAAACGTGATTGGTTATAAGTTATTTTAAATTTTTTTTATATACACGTATAGAATTATTGTAAAAATTAGAAGTCGTAGTAATTTGAGAAACTCATCGAATATCTTTAGAAGAAGGTTTAAGACAAATTTCTTTCTATCGGTGCTAGAGAGGTCAATGTATTGATGAATCCTAGGCAAAGAAATAATTGAATAAACAGATGAACGTGCACGGTATTAGAATAATGTATCGATCGAGAAAATGAAAAGAATTGGAGATAAGGGAACAGGATACAATCTCTAAGTAGCAAAACTACTTGATTTATTTTAATGTACAGACAGACTTTATTAAATTGTAGAAGTTTTCAATTTGAAATTTCGGATTTTAAATTCAACAGTGTTTCTAATATAATTCCATATGTAAATTTTTTAAATATTGAAAACTATAAAATATTTAATATTTTTGTTTTTAAAACTTTTTCATAAGGTTTATGTTCTTTTTCAAGTTTTTTCTTGATTTACTTATTGATATGTTAGCCTGTATAATTTGTTTCGAACAAGAAAGAGTTTGTTTTAAAATAGTGTCTCCATCTATGAATGAGATTATTATAAATCAATACGATGTTTACTTGATGTGACAACAAACTGCGTACACGCCAGAATAGTGTATTTAGATTGCATACAATTAAGATACATGGTTAAATTTAAATTTAGAACTGGGTTATAATGACCAATAACATATATCGGAAGGTGAAATATTGAGACGCATTAATATTATAATTAATGTAGTTTGTGTAATGTAAAATGATTAGAGATTTCTTTTGGGAGTTTACAAATTTTCAGACGTTCGAACTGGCATTTCTTACCTTATTTTTGCAACAGGTTGATAAAGAATTCGAACTTGGTATCATCGTAGAATTTTAAGTGTGTGTTTCACAAGGTTGTTAAATTGAGTTCTACTTTATTTTTCTGTACTGTACTTCAGGATTCGAATACTATGAGACTGTTTTCATTATTTCTTTATGTATTATGAGCCAGATAACGAGACTTGTGGGCCTTATTCATTCAAGACTTGCATAATAAACGCTTACTTTTTTAAGTATTTAAAAGTCTTGTGGGAAACATGTTTATTATTTTTATAGAATGATAAAAGAAAACGAATTTTTTTAAAGATAAAGAAAAAATTCGGCCCTTAATGGCCCCTAATTTGTGTAATGGTTATTCCAGCCCTGATTATTGTTCTATTACTTTTAATGACTACCAATTTCACAGACAACACGCATTAATTAGATTATTAATTAATCTAAGCGTGTTGAACTACTACAATTAATATTGAAATTCGATATCAGTTAGGAGAAATATCATATGGATTTCTAGCTATTTTTTCTATATTTTTGTACATTTTACAATGTATTACTTCCCAGGTATGTTAATTTTATACGAATATCTCTGAATTGAAAAACATTGCGACTACAGTTAATTAATTACTTTTGGAGATTTCTCACAACCCATAACAGAAATTTAGATGTAATGGATTGTAGCCGTTTCCTATCCAAATATGTTTAGCATCATAATACCTTAGATATCATTAAGTGCGGTAGATTTGATCTTATCTACATTCATAGACTGTACTGTACATTATACGCGATTGATGTGCACGTCTAGGCTTTAAAATGTATCATATGTATATAAAGGTAACCGATCTATCTTCACATTACACTACGCTATTGTTATAACTAATCATATCCAATATATTACCTAATATAGATGTTCTCAGGGCCAGTGGCGGCCTTAGGGGGTGGCGAGCAGGGCAATCACCCGGGGCCTCGCTCTTGGAGGGGCCTCGCGCAACAAACAAATAGAAAAAAGTTGATATTTAAAACTTTTTATTTTATCCTTGGCTATTAGTTATAACAATAAAATAAATTTAATTTATAGTACAGTATATATTAATATTAATAAGTGCCTACTATTTCAATTCACATACTTTGCACAAAAAACAAGGGCCTCGCAAAGATCTGCCGCCCAGAGCCTCGCAATGGATAAGGCCGCCGCTGCTCAGGGCCTACAAGACGGAGGGAGAGAAACCAGGGCTGTAATCTGAGACCCAGGCCTGTATAGGGAACCCGAGCTCGAATCTGTATAACTAAAATTTTAATTATGAAATCTAGAAAGCCAATTTATTTAATTTTAAGTGTATAAACTGAGGGTAGTAGTGGAGAGACCCGGTATGCCCTGGTCTTAAGACAAAATCCACGACCCTTGTACATTTTCTTCTATTTTAGATCGAGATACTCTATTGTATACTTGGTTATAGAGGTAATCTTATATTAAAAATTTGTAATAAAATTTTAATAATTTCTGATCTCATGCAATTTTCTAGAATTTATAGATGAATAAAATGGAATTAAACTTTTAATATTTGATGTAAGAAGTTAATAAATAGCACAAGACTACGAGAGATCAAATAATTTATTGCCACAATTGCCTGAATTCCAACTTAGACGAAATATTTTTCCATAATTCTTCACGCATGCTGCCATCTTTGAATAGAATAATTTGACATAAAATGCAGAACTTCACAAATGCGCGTTTTGATAACAATTAACAGATACAATGTGGAAAAAATCAAATTAAAAAAATAATAATAGTAATGATGATAACAGTAGTAATTAATGAAAGAATACATAAGATATATTTTACAAGCCGTTTTTTTATTTTAAATATTTACTATCATGTGCAATATAATTTGTTTTTTTTCCTTAAATTGTTAAAATTAGAATTTTTAAAAGATGCAGGTTAGAGTGTTTTTTTTTATTATTGTCCTCCTTCGAATTTGTGCTTTTAACTCCTTTCTCTACAAATAAATTACGAATGGATGGAAGAGTCGACTTTGGTCCTATCTGTGATAGAACATTCCTTCACTTTTTATACTATTTTTTTATTTTTTAAATTTTTTTTTTATTTTGGCAGCATTCTCTCAGTTCTCGGACAGGAGTTCAGTTTTGAGCTTTTATAAAGTTGGCACTGCACTTTTTCTTGCAGGTGTTTTTTTCTTTTATTATTATTTATTATTATTAAAAATGTTCAAACGCTGCTGGCAAAAGACGGACTGCTTTACTTCTATTGGCACTTTACCTGCACTGTTAAGCACCACTCGCCATTGACTAGTTCAACATTGTTATGTATACAATGACGACGTTGGTGATGTCAGATTCGTCATAATTATTGAAGATTTTTCCACAACACAGATAGTGTCACAAGTGATAGAGATGAAAATAGGTTAACTTTACTTGACAGACATCCACTTAAAGCTGAAAATAAATAAATAAATAGGGTTTTGTTATTATTAAAATGTTATATATATTTTCTATTTTAAAAATATAAAAGTATAAGAGCGAAAGGAAAATTATTTCTACCTTAAAAACTTACAGCATTGTTCGATTAAAGTGGAAACAGGATTTACACCAGAACTTAAGATTTCAATGTAATAATTATTAATATGCAACACCAAATTAAAGTTTTCTTTAAGAAACTTCATTTTAATATAAATTTTATATCAAAATAAAACGGAATAAATATTTTTGTCGTCTTAATTCATGTCTAGCTTAGTTGAAATATAACAGATTACTAGGAATGATAGGACTACTGCTGAAGTGAATTTATTCATTTTTTTTTATAACAAATCTACTTCAAATGCAACTTTTGTTATAAAAAATAATGGTGTTTTTGTGACAAAAACTATTGTTTTCCACTTAGTAAACAATATTTTCTTACGAATTATTCAATTTGTGAAAGTAAAACTTGATAAATATTTACTTGAAATCTCATCAATGGTCTTCGAATACAGCATCCAAATTATAATTTAATACTATCGTGCAACAATCACATAAAGTAAATATTTATTTATTATACATATAGAATTATTTTTTATATACTTTTACTTTTATATAGAATTTAGAAATTATTTGAATAATATAGCCTATTCAAATATATTATTCAAATCATTTCTAAATTCTATATAAAAGTAAAACATTTTTTTATAATTTTATAAAGTAAGCAATTATCAAATATAAAATTATAAATTCAGCAATATCAATATTCATAACAAATTCTATTTGCTTTGTTTGCATGCAAAGTTACTACTTGACTTAGTATACTTTAATGAATTCATCTCACGCGACATTAATTTCTCATATACAATAAGTTGCATATACAAATTAAAATCAAGTGAAATTGATTCGTGCAATAGTATATGCAATGAAAACATTTAATAAATTTTCTTTATTCAGATCTCAATATCATTTAAATGAGTTTCGCTAATGAATATGATGAATATATAGCCTACATATATAATAAATCTGGCATGAAAGGTCAGACACACGGGTAAAACGATACACTGATTGTATTTTAAAAACGGTACAAAATATACGTATTTGAATTTATCACTCTGTGCTGCTCAAAAACTTTGAAGAGAAAAGAAAATCAAGATGATTATTCTCTGCAATATAATATTGTTTATGTATGTTATGCGTTTTTGTCATCGTAGACTTAATTCATAAATAAATGAAACGTAATGCTTTCAAATATAAGTAATCTGCTTTATAAATAGAAACAAACTAACCCTCTATCTCTATAGATTATCTCATTTTACCCTAATAATATAACATATCAGCTGCTTGGTGCTTTGACTGAATGTTCTCAGTGGGTTCTCATCAACAGGAATACGTCCTCTTAATCCAGATGGCTTTCCTAACTATTGAACCCTGCAGGCACCACAGTTAGGCCAGAAAATTTAAATGAGAATCCAAGCTTGCGTATAATAGATGAAACTCCGTCTCTCATGGAGAAAGCCTCAGTAAATTCAGCTACAGTTGTATGGGAAACATTTCATGTGAGACCACAGGATATTTCCTCAATTCCATTTGCTTCTAGATCTAGCAGCAAGTAAAGAAAACATGAAGGATTTCAAGTTTTAACATAAACTTTTAGCACATACATTAACATATTAAAGACGAAGGAAGAAGAAAAGAGTGACAGAGCACTGCAATATCATATATGTCTTCAGAAATTAAAGATTTTTAAAATGTTGATGAGCGTGATCCTACTTGCCTCTCCTGTGATGACCTTAACATTCATTCTAAACCTGTAGAAACATGGCTTGAGCGTAAGAAATGTTCTCTACAGCAATGATCTCCAAAACTTTATTGATCACGTACCCCTAAGACGAAAATAATTATAAGTTGTACCCCTATAATATAATAAAATTTGCTAAATTTCCACTATAAATACACAATTCCTGCTAAATCTTCCTCTACTCGCAATTTGAATTTTTTCTGTGTATGATCGCAAGTGATTGTGAGCCTACTTCTTCGGGAGGATGACTGTAAGATTAAACAGACTGCGGACAGGACACACATAGGAAAGGACTACATATGGACTAATAGGGCTTAAACCCTGGACCCCAAAGTGTCAAGTACTCACAAAAATTGAATTATTATCATAAATTTTTAATATTTTATTTCTTATGTGTTTTTATAAGATATATTTATTTATGAAATGATGTTGAATGACAAACTATACGTCAACTCTGATTTTGATGTTATTAAAAATAAATTTTAAACCCCAATTTAAAGATTCTTAATATAACAAAAATGGGGCCCCATTGGACTTCAATAAGCCCTAGGCCCCGAAAAACCCAGATCCGCCCCTGGACACAAATACAGTATTTTGAAGGGGAACTTGACGTATCCCCAAGTGTCACTTTGCGTACCCCACTTTTCTTTATGTGCTCTATAGGCACATAAAGAACATGTGCAGGCCTCACCAAGAGAATTTTATGCGCGATTAATGCCAAAAAAAAAATGATTCAAGATTACCCTAGCAACTAGAATAAAATGAAACAATATCGTTATTTTTGGAATCATCCATTACTTAAAAATAGTTTTAATTTTTCATTTCTTATTATTGGTATTATTTGTATTATTCAGTGGAATATCACATATTGATAAATCATTAAGCATCTTATCTAAGAAAATAGTTCTTTTTTTTAAACATTTTCGTTAGGGTGTGCCATTTTAGGCAAAGTTCTCCTATATAATAAAACACGAAAGAATACCATAAAGGTAACCGTACTCAAAATAAATATTAAATAAATTGTGATAAATGTAACATTAAAACTGATAAAATTTGCTATATTTTTTTAGTATAATTAAAAAATTCTGCTTACGCTCACACTTTTAATTATTCATCTTAGTGAGAGTTGTATATTTAAAAGCGTGCTGTAAGTCACCCCATAACAATCCCTTTTCTTCTATTAAATTCTCTTTTTTTTTAAATATTTACTTAAACTTTTGCACTGAATAGCATTCAGATTGACATAATCTGCAATAACTCAAATAGAAAAACTACCTGATTCTGCTTTTGGCGTTGGGTTTATATACGAATGCTGCTGACGATTATTCGATCTATCTTCACCTTTAGCTTTAGTGTTCTTATCTGTTAAGATAACCAAATAAAATTTATTCTCTTATACTTTACAATAAATCAGTTGTTAAACTTGAGAATTTATTTTTATTTTTTCACTAACACAATAAAAAAATATCCTGAAGGTGCTTAGTTTTCTTTCAGGATAACAAACTGACATATCAAAGGTTCCCCCATATACAGTATATATATATTTACTTCTTTTTTAAACTTACCTTCCAGACAAAACTTTAAAATATACATATAAAAGATGAGAAAATATATCTATTTTATATAAAGATTATTTATTCTACTTACATTTAATTTTATAAAGATAATCCATAAGGTTACTTAAGAGATTCTTTTAAAATTTAATCTTAAAACTTATGAGGTGTTTATAATAGATTAATTGTCATGTAAACCTGATAATTATATACATTTGTCATGACCTGACATTTTCTATATTATGCAAATTAAACTTCTCATTGTGAATATTCTCTTAGGTTATATCACCAACAATAGCTTTGTGGATAGATTAGAGTATAATAGGAATAAATTACTAAAATCAATACTAGAACTGAGTTTAGAATTCAGAATTTGACCGTTATTATTATTATTATCATCGTCATTACAAAGAGCAATTTTAAAGTTTATTAAATATAATTTTGTTATCTTAAAAAATAAATAAATAATATCAGAACAAACCTGTGCTTAAATTATGTGATTCGTCCATTAAAGAATTGCTCGCAGGTTGACCATAACTCTTCCTCGGTGAATAGGATTCATTTCTGTTATTTTGTAATTCTACGTAATAAAATAAATTATAAATGACTATTTTATAAAAAAGTAAATTTAATTTGTAAAAATTAAATTTTTTATTTATTTACTTTTTAAATGACAGTAACATAAATCGTTCTACTTCTACACACACCTTTGTAAATATTACATTTATTCTTGTACTTATCCCATATTTTAATAATAGAAATTGTTTATTTATTATTAAAATAGCTTTATGCTGACGGTTTTGTATTTTTATGTCAGCAATTCAGTATATAAAATATAACAGTAAATATATATATATTATAAATATATAAGAATATATACTAAGAATTGAATGGATATATATCTGTTGGAAATCGTATACTTGAAAATTTTATATTTTTTTCGTATTTTAAAATAATAAACAATCCAAAAAGATCAGTTTCAATGTTTTAAAGGGTTTTTACATTACCAAAAATTATACAGTACAAATTAATAACTAATGTGATTAATGTGATCATTTCTTATAATTTCAATACATCAAACCACAGTTTTGCTCAGTGAATAATGTACTGTACAGATGGCTACAAAGTCTCCTCATCCCCTTTTATATAATTGATCACTATATACTGATCATACACTACATCATACAAACACTCCTGCGGTTTAGAGAAGAAACTCTAGCACTAGAAACAAAGGATAAACCAAGAAGTAGCAGCTCTTCAACAAGAGGAGAATGGTGCAGACAATTTGAAGAGCTTCATATCAGGAGTTCAAATTAAAATTCGAAATCTCTCGATCGATAATGTATAAACAAATAATTTATACAGTAAAACCTATCTAAAATCTACCTAAATAAAATGAAAACCTGCCTAAACGAAGAAAAATAATTCCGGTTTTCACGGGTTTTTTACCAATTTCACATAAAGATAACGGTGCTTCCAGGCAATCCCAAAGGATTCTGTGAGGAAGATCGGATTACGCATAACACAGAAATTTGTGAGAATTCATAATATTTAATTTAAAATTAGAGCTTATAATTGCACATTCTGTAGCTAAATTTGAATAATGTATAAGTTTTTTTTTTTTTTTAGTTTTTCCCTTAAAGAATCCTTACCGTAAACAAGAAGTGTTGCATTTACTCATTATGCACCAAATTCTGAATTAAAATTCAATCAACAAAACAAAAAAAAATTGATCCCAAAATACGTGAATAAGATAACATTCAAAATTACATTCGAACTCAATAATTAAATTTAGTTAAATTGAGCTTTTAAACTAAAGTAAACTTAGCATTTAATTACTTTTTACGGGAAGAAACTTCGTATAGAATTAAAAACAGCTTATTAAAATCGTTAATTTTTTTCTCCTTTTTTTCTCTTAAAACCACTCGATTAAAATTGATAATTTTTAACAATAAAATTGTAACACCTACCTGAAAAAATCATTGATTTTTAATAATAATAAAAAAAGAATTTCATAAATCATTCAATTTTTCATTATGTAGCTATCATGTCTTAATTATTTTAATTTGCGGATTTACTTAAAAACATTATCGAGCCTAAAGTAAATTATCATTCTTTGTTGTTTACAAGAATTAATTACGTTTACGTTAGGATATTTTCTGACTAATTTGCATAATGAAATTTCTTGTGTTAAATTTTCTAAGTAATTATTTGAGAGAGAATTTCCTTCTAACGTAACTATAATTATTGTTTTCGTGATATTTTACTAATTAAATTGCTAATCTTAGAAATTATTGTAGCTCGATATGATAAATATTATTAAAATTACTTTGGGGAATTTTATAAAATTCATTAAAACGAATACTTAATAATTGTTAATTTTAAATATTTTTAAATTATATACTTTTATTTAAAAAAAAAAAACTCAATAATTTATATCTTAATGCAGAATAAACATTTCTTTTTTAATATATTTGCGCTAGAACATTGAAGCGATCTCCGCATCACGTCGCAAAGTACAAGAGATGCGACATGAAATATTAAATAATAATAATAAAAAATTCATTGTAAATTGATAATCTAACTTAGTTTGACCTTTAAAATCTTCAATAGTTATAAATTAAAAAGGATATATAAATTATTAACATTAAAAAGAGCATTCAAATTTTAAACCTAGTTTCATATTAATGCGCGAATATAAATTCAGAAAAAAAATGTATATATTATTCCTCGTGGATATAAGTTTATAAAAATAAAAATTTTAATTAAAAAAATAAATAAAAATCTAATATTTTATAGTATATTTTATTACTGTTTAAACTTAAAAGAGTGAAGAATTTTTACAAAACACGCGTAGAATTATGTTTACTTCAAAATCTTGTAAAGTTGAAAATCTACTCAAAAATCAAGAGATCAAACCTTTTTTTTTATATATATTTTTCTCCTTCGAGTCACCTTATTTATTTTTTTATGCCGAATTTTTCGATATACTTCTTCAGTCGATGCAATTTTTATAGATAGAAAGTCCGTTTAATAATTTATACTTTAACGGTTCAATACGAAAATAAATATTTTTATTAAAAGAAAACGTTTTAAAAATTCGTAGAATATATTCCCAAGCTTTATTCTATACTTTCTAAAATATTGAAAATTATATATAAACATTTTAAGCACACATTTCTCTTCAAAACATTCCCTAAAGCAGCCGTATAACAGTATCTTCGATACGAACCAACCATTATAATAAAAAAAGAACTGTTTATACTGTAAAAGAGTATAATTAACTAATTTTAATATTTTCACATAAACGAAGAGCGAATTATATATTTTAATCACCTCTCATCCTCGGCAGATACACTTCAAGTGCAGCTGTGGGCTGTGGCAAACTTGTAGGTGGTGGTATTTCTACAATTAAAAATAAAAATTTAAGATAAGAAAACTTTACTAATTACTAAAAACTTATGCAAATAAGCTCAAAAAGTATATATATATATATATTTCTTTTTTTTTCTTGGCGTTTGAATTAGAAAATAATGAAAGAGAAAGTATTTGTAAAATATTTACATTTAGAAAACATAAGGAAAAATTTGCATATCATTTAATACTTATTCGTTTGTGAGCCTTTTTTTTTTCTAAACTTTCTTACCGTATAATCTGATAAAACCTTCTTTTTCTCCTAATGTATTTTTCGCAACGCATTTGTATGAGCCGAAGTCTCTTTCGTGTAGGTTGTTTATCCTTAGTTTCATTAAAATACGATAGGAATCGTCTTCTTCAGTCAACTGATACTTTTTGTTATTCAAGACAATCATACCGTCATTTCGAATCCAAGATGTCAGCGGGCGAGGCGATGCTTCTAATTTACACTCTAGCAGCACATCTGTACCTGCAGCAGCACCTACTAACTGATTCGGTACTCGGATCTTTGGACGAACTAGGAAAAAAAAACCATTTATTTATAAATATAATCGACTAATTACATATAATTTCACGTAAAATCTATCGTGACATACCGTGCAGTTAAATTACTGAGAAATAAGCAAAAATTTTAATTAGAGTTAGTCTCATTAGAGAAATTGTATAAACATCTTAGAACGTATCTACGAGTATAATATATCGAATATATATATATATATATATACATTTGAAGATTTAATCTGACTACATTCACAAAACTTGTATTTCTTTCTCTTATAGAATGCAAGTAAATCAAATTTTCAATCTTCCCTTCCACACAGGTTCTATTTACCATACAATTTTTTGAAGATTATTTCGATATGTATAGAAAAATATTATAAATAATTATATATTCGGGTTTATATAAATATAATTCCACTATAAAGACGATATATTTGTTGATCTTAAGTTAAAATATCTACTAATATATTTGGTAAAACTAAAAGAATAATATTAAACTAAACGGAAAAATCTTTTCTTCGATGTACTTTTATGTATTATTTTCAGTTTTCATGTTATAGAAGAATCAATACAGAGTTACTCGTACATTCTTTGAAAAATGCTTCAGGCTCTTTTAGAACTAAAAATGCCTCAAGCTACTTCTTCAAAAATGTCGATCCATTTATATGTTAATTTTATTTTTGATATTTTATTGATTTCATAGACTTTTCTATTTTATTATTTCTAAACTTGTGACGTTTGCATTCCTTAAAGAGTTCTTTCTATTAAATAAAATATTTTTTTTTCCTTCTTCTTCTTCTGAAAAATACCTAAAAGTATTTTGTCAGATAAAATAATAAAAAAATGACATTTTTTAACTTTGTTTTTACGTAAAAACTACATTTTTTCATTGTTGTATTTGCTAAATTTGCCGAAATTCCTCATTAAATACGTCACATTACTTTTTAATTAAGTTAATTTTGAGTATATAAGTAGCAAAATAAAGTCGATTTATTTTTCACTTGAATGCTATTCGCTTAATACAATTCTCTATTTCGAAAGCATAACTATAAAGCCATCTGAAACTCCTGCACTTTCTCTCGTGACATTTCTCATCCTCTGTAGACCACGTAGGATATCTTGACGTGACAACTTTCAATGTCAAAATATTGTAAAGGACATTGCATCTTTCTTTCTAAATCTGTTTGGACTTCAATCTCTATTCGATATTTTCTAGAATAAAGCAGTGCGAAGCATAAAGTTGTAATACTATAAATTTCGGATAAAGAAGGAAAAAATAACTTTTTAAGTGTTTTTTAAGGATTCTGAGAAGGATTTCCGGAGATGCAACCATCTTGGTTTCGCTTTCTCAGCTTTATTTCCTCAGATACTGCTCTAAACATCTTTTCTACTGCTTATATACTGTATATATATATATATTTATTTACAACTTAGACCTACCTTTATCCATAATTATAGTAAAAATTTTAATTTATATGGGATACAAATATATTTAATGTAACTAAAATCTTGTTAACTGTCCAGAGAACGCAGGGAACAGAGTTAATGAATTATAATAGGAAGTTTAAATTTGTTTATGCATATAATTGATTAGAATCAATTATTTACATTATAAATTATTAAATTGCAATCAAATCAAAGTTGATTACATAAATAATCATTTGTTTCTATTATAACAACATATATTTTGCTTATCAAGTTCTTATCATCCTCTTAGAATTTAAATTATTTAATTAAAATTTATGTCCTCAAATAAACATTTTAAGCACACATTTCTCTTCAAAACATTCCCTAAAGCAGCCGTATAACAGTATCTTCGATACGAACCAACCATTATAATAAAAAAAGAACTGTTTATACTGTAAAAGAGTATAATTAACTAATTTTAATATTTTCACATAAACGAAGAGCGAATTATATATTTTAATCACCTCTCATCCTCGGCAGATACACTTCAAGTGCAGCTGTGGGCTGTGGCAAACTTGTAGGTGGTGGTATTTCTACAATTAAAAATAAAAATTTAAGATAAGAAAACTTTACTAATTACTAAAAACTTATGCAAATAAGCTCAAAAAGTATATATATATATATATATTTCTTTTTTTTTCTTGGCGTTTGAATTAGAAAATAATGAAAGAGAAAGTATTTGTAAAATATTTACATTTAGAAAACATAAGGAAAAATTTGCATATCATTTAATACTTATTCGTTTGTGAGCCTTTTTTTTTTCTAAACTTTCTTACCGTATAATCTGATAAAACCTTCTTTTTCTCCTAATGTATTTTTCGCAACGCATTTGTATGAGCCGAAGTCTCTTTCGTGTAGGTTGTTTATCCTTAGTTTCATTAAAATACGATAGGAATCGTCTTCTTCAGTCAACTGATACTTTTTGTTATTCAAGACAATCATACCGTCATTTCGAATCCAAGATGTCAGCGGGCGAGGCGATGCTTCTAATTTACACTCTAGCAGCACATCTGTACCTGCAGCAGCACCTACTAACTGATTCGGTACTCGGATCTTTGGACGAACTAGGAAAAAAAAACCATTTATTTATAAATATAATCGACTAATTACATATAATTTCACGTAAAATCTATCGTGACATACCGTGCAGTTAAATTACTGAGAAATAAGCAAAAATTTTAATTAGAGTTAGTCTCATTAGAGAAATTGTATAAACATCTTAGAACGTATCTACGAGTATCATTTACTCATTATGCACCAAATTCTGAATTAAAATTCAATCAACAAAACAAAAAAAAATTGATCCCAAAATACGTGAATAAGATAACATTCAAAATTACATTCGAACTCAATAATTAAATTTAGTTAAATTGAGCTTTTAAACTAAAGTAAACTTAGCANATTAATAAGTGCCTACTATTTCAATTCACATACTTTGCACAAAAAACAAGGGCCTCGCAAAGATCTGCCGCCCAGAGCCTCGCAATGGATAAGGCCGCCGCTGCTCAGGGCCTACAAGACGGAGGGAGAGAAACCAGGGCTGTAATCTGAGACCCAGGCCTGTATAGGGAACCCGAGCTCGAATCTGTATAACTAAAATTTTAATTATGAAATCTAGAAAGCCAATTTATTTAATTTTAAGTGTATAAACTGAGGGTAGTAGTGGAGAGACCCGGTATGCCCTGGTCTTAAGACAAAATCCACGACCCTTGTACATTTTCTTCTATTTTAGATCGAGATACTCTATTGTATACTTGGTTATAGAGGTAATCTTATATTAAAAATTTGTAATAAAATTTTAATAATTTCTGATCTCATGCAATTTTCTAGAATTTATAGATGAATAAAATGGAATTAAACTTTTAATATTTGATATAAGAAGTTAATAAATAGCACAAGACTACGAGAGATCAAATAATTTATTGCCACAATTGCCTGAATTCCAACTTAGACGAAATATTTTTCCATAATTCTTCACGCATGCTGCCATCTTTGAATAGAATAATTTGACATAAAATGCAGAACTTCACAAATGCGCGTTTTGATAACAATTAACAGATACAATGTGGAAAAAATCAAATTAAAAAAATAATAATAGTAATGATGATAACAGTAGTAATTAATGAAAGAATACATAAGATATATTTTACAAGCCGTTTTTTTATTTTAAATATTTACTATCATGTGCAATATAATTTGTTTTTTTTCCTTAAATTGTTAAAATTAGAATTTTTAAAAGATGCAGGTTAGAGTGTTTTTTTTTATTATTGTCCTCCTTCGAATTTGTGCTTTTAACTCCTTTCTCTACAAATAAATTACGAATGGATGGAAGAGTCGACTTTGGTCCTATCTGTGATAGAACATTCCTTCACTTTTTATACTATTTTTTTATTTTTTAAATTTTTTTTTTATTTTGGCAGCATTCTCTCAGTTCTCGGACAGGAGTTCAGTTTTGAGCTTTTATAAAGTTGGCACTGCACTTTTTCTTGCAGGTGTTTTTTTCTTTTATTATTATTTATTATTATTAAAAATGTTCAAACGCTGCTGGCAAAAGACGGACTGCTTTACTTCTATTGGCACTTTACCTGCACTGTTAAGCACCACTCGCCATTGACTAGTTCAACATTGTTATGTATACAATGACGACGTTGGTGATGTCAGATTCGTCATAATTATTGAAGATTTTTCCACAACACAGATAGTGTCACAAGTGATAGAGATGAAAATAGGTTAACTTTACTTGACAGACATCCACTTAAAGCTGAAAATAAATAAATAAATAGGGTTTTATTATTATTAAAATGTTATATATATTTTCTATTTTAAAAATATAAAAGTATAAGAGCGAAAGGAAAATTATTTCTACCTTAAAAACTTACAGCATTGTTCGATTAAAGTGGAAACAGGATTTACACCAGAACTTAAGATTTCAATGTAATAATTATTAATATGCAACACCAAATTAAAGTTTTCTTTAAGAAACTTCATTTTAATATAAATTTTATATCAAAATAAAACGGAATAAATATTTTTGTCGTCTTAATTCATGTCTAGCTTAGTTGAAATATAACAGATTACTAGGAATGATAGGACTACTGCTGAAGTGAATTTATTCATTTTTTTTTATAACAAATCTACTTCAAATGCAACTTTTGTTATAAAAAATAATGGTGTTTTTGTGACAAAAACTATTGTTTTCCACTTAGTAAACAATATTTTCTTACGAATTATTCAATTTGTGAAAGTAAAACTTGATAAATATTTACTTGAAATCTCATCAATGGTCTTCGAATACAGCATCCAAATTATAATTTAATACTATCGTGCAACAATCACATAAAGTAAATATTTATTTATTATACATATAGAATTATTTTTTATATACTTTTACTTTTATATAGAATTTAGAAATTATTTGAATAATATAGCCTATTCAAATATATTATTCAAATCATTTCTAAATTCTATATAAAAGTAAAACATTTTTTTATAATTTTATAAAGTAAGCAATTATCAAATATAAAATTATAAATTCAGCAATATCAATATTCATAACAAATTCTATATGCTTTGTTTGCATGCAAAGTTACTACTTGACTTAGTATACTTTAATGAATTCATCTCACGCGACATTAATTTCTCATATACAATAAGTTGCATATACAAATTAAAATCAAGTGAAATTGATTCGTGCAATAGTATATGCAATGAAAACATTTAATAAATTTTCTTTATTCAGATCTCAATATCATTTAAATGAGTTTCGCTAATGAATATGATGAATATATAGCCTACATATATAATAAATCTGGCATGAAAGGTCAGACACACGGGTAAAACGATACACTGATTGTATTTTAAAAACGGTACAAAATATACGTATTTGAATTTATCACTCTGTGCTGCTCAAAAACTTTGAAGAGAAAAGAAAATCAAGATGATTATTCTCTGCAATATAATATTGTTTATGTATGTTATGCGTTTTTGTCATCGTAGACTTAATTCATAAATAAATGAAACGTAATGCTTTCAAATATAAGTAATCTGCTTTATAAATAGAAACAAACTAACCCTCTATCTCTATAGATTATCTCATTTTACCCTAATAATATAACATATCAGCTGCTTGGTGCTTTGACTGAATGTTCTCAGTGGGTTCTCATCAACAGGAATACGTCCTCTTAATCCAGATGGCTTTCCTAACTATTGAACCCTGCAGGCACCACAGTTAGGCCAGAAAATTTAAATGAGAATCCAAGCTTGCGTATAATAGATGAAACTCCGTCTCTCATGGAGAAAGCCTCAGTAAATTCAGCTACAGTTGTATGGGAAACATTTCATGTGAGACCACAGGATATTTCCTCAATTCCATTTGCTTCTAGATCTAGCAGCAAGTAAAGAAAACATGAAGGATTTCAAGTTTTAACATAAACTTTTAGCACATACATTAACATATTAAAGACGAAGGAAGAAGAAAAGAGTGACAGAGCACTGCAATATCATATATGTCTTCAGAAATTAAAGATTTTTAAAATGTTGATGAGCGTGATCCTACTTGCCTCTCCTGTGATGACCTTAACATTCATTCTAAACCTGTAGAAACATGGCTTGAGCGTAAGAAATGTTCTCTACAGCAATGATCTCCAAAACTTTATTGATCACGTACCCCTAAGACGAAAATAATTATAAGTTGTACCCCTATAATATAATAAAATTTGCTAAATTTCCACTATAAATACACAATTCCTGCTAAATCTTCCTCTACTCGCAATTTGAATTTTTTCTGTGTATGATCGCAAGTGATTGTGAGCCTACTTCTTCGGGAGGATGACTGTAAGATTAAACAGACTGCGGACAGGACACACATAGGAAAGGACTACATATGGACTAATAGGGCTTAAACCCTGGACCCCAAAGTGTCAAGTACTCACAAAAATTGAATTATTATCATAAATTTTTAATATTTTATTTCTTATGTGTTTTTATAAGATATATTTATTTATGAAATGATGTTGAATGACAAACTATACGTCAACTCTGATTTTGATGTTATTAAAAATAAATTTTAAACCCCAATTTAAAGATTCTTAATATAACAAAAATGGGGCCCCATTGGACTTCAATAAGCCCTAGGCCCCGAAAAACCCAGATCCGCCCCTGGACACAAATACAGTATTTTGAAGGGGAACTTGACGTATCCCCAAGTGTCACTTTGCGTACCCCACTTTTCTTTATGTGCTCTATAGGCACATAAAGAACATGTGCAGGCCTCACCAAGAGAATTTTATGCGCGATTAATGCCAAAAAAAAAATGATTCAAGATTACCCTAGCAACTAGAATAAAATGAAACAATATCGTTATTTTTGGAATCATCCATTACTTAAAAATAGTTTTAATTTTTCATTTCTTATTATTGGTATTATTTGTATTATTCAGTGGAATATCACATATTGATAAATCATTAAGCATCTTATCTAAGAAAATAGTTCTTTTTTTTAAACATTTTCGTTAGGGTGTGCCATTTTAGGCAAAGTTCTCCTATATAATAAAACACGAAAGAATACCATAAAGGTAACCGTACTCAAAATAAATATTAAATAAATTGTGATAAATGTAACATTAAAACTGATAAAATTTGCTATATTTTTTTAGTATAATTAAAAAATTCTGCTTACGCTCACACTTTTAATTATTCATCTTAGTGAGAGTTGTATATTTAAAAGCGTGCTGTAAGTCACCCCATAACAATCCCTTTTCTTCTATTAAATTCTCTTTTTTTTTAAATATTTACTTAAACTTTTGCACTGAATAGCATTCAGATTGACATAATCTGCAATAACTCAAATAGAAAAACTACCTGATTCTGCTTTTGGCGTTGGGTTTATATACGAATGCTGCTGACGATTATTCGATCTATCTTCACCTTTAGCTTTAGTGTTCTTATCTGTTAAGATAACCAAATAAAATTTATTCTCTTATACTTTACAATAAATCAGTTGTTAAACTTGAGAATTTATTTTTATTTTTTCACTAACACAATAAAAAAATATCCTGAAGGTGCTTAGTTTTCTTTCAGGATAACAAACTGACATATCAAAGGTTCCCCCATATACAGTATATATATATTTACTTCTTTTTTAAACTTACCTTCCAGACAAAACTTTAAAATATACATATAAAAGATGAGAAAATATATCTATTTTATATAAAGATTATTTATTCTACTTACATTTAATTTTATAAAGATAATCCATAAGGTTACTTAAGAGATTCTTTTAAAATTTAATCTTAAAACTTATGAGGTGTTTATAATAGATTAATTGTCATGTAAACCTGATAATTATATACATTTGTCATGACCTGACATTTTCTATATTATGCAAATTAAACTTCTCATTGTGAATATTCTCTTAGGTTATATCACCAACAATAGCTTTGTGGATAGATTAGAGTATAATAGGAATAAATTACTAAAATCAATACTAGAACTGAGTTTAGAATTCAGAATTTGACCGTTATTATTATTATTATCATCGTCATTACAAAGAGCAATTTTAAAGTTTATTAAATATAATTTTGTTATCTTAAAAAATAAATAAATAATATCAGAACAAACCTGTGCTTAAATTATGTGATTCGTCCATTAAAGAATTGCTCGCAGGTTGACCATAACTCTTCCTCGGTGAATAGGATTCATTTCTGTTATTTTGTAATTCTACGTAATAAAATAAATTATAAATGACTATTTTATAAAAAAGTAAATTTAATTTGTAAAAATTAAATTTTTTATTTATTTACTTTTTAAATGACAGTAACATAAATCGTTCTACTTCTACACACACCTTTGTAAATATTACATTTATTCTTGTACTTATCCCATATTTTAATAATAGAAATTGTTTATTTATTATTAAAATAGCTTTATGCTGACGGTTTTGTATTTTTATGTCAGCAATTCAGTATATAAAATATAACAGTAAATATATATATATTATAAATATATAAGAATATATACTAAGAATTGAATGGATATATATCTGTTGGAAATCGTATACTTGAAAATTTTATATTTTTTTCGTATTTTAAAATAATAAACAATCCAAAAAGATCAGTTTCAATGTTTTAAAGGGTTTTTACATTACCAAAAATTATACAGTACAAATTAATAACTAATGTGATTAATGTGATCATTTCTTATAATTTCAATACATCAAACCACAGTTTTGCTCAGTGAATAATGTACTGTACAGATGGCTACAAAGTCTCCTCATCCCCTTTTATATAATTGATCACTATATACTGATCATACACTACATCATACAAACACTCCTGCGGTTTAGAGAAGAAACTCTAGCACTAGAAACAAAGGATAAACCAAGAAGTAGCAGCTCTTCAACAAGAGGAGAATGGTGCAGACAATTTGAAGAGCTTCATATCAGGAGTTCAAATTAAAATTCGAAATCTCTCGATCGATAATGTATAAACAAATAATTTATACAGTAAAACCTATCTAAAATCGACCTAAATAAAATGAAAACCTGCCTAAACGAAGAAAAATAATTCCGGTTTTCACGGGTTTTTTACCAATTTCACATAAAGATAACGGTGCTTCCAGGCAATCCTAAAGGATTCTGTGAGGAAGATCGGATTACGCATAACACAGAAATTTGTGAGAATTCATAATATTTAATTTAAAATTAGAGCTTATAATTGCACATTCTGTAGCTAAATTTGAATAATGTATACGTTTTTTTCAGTGTTGCATTTACTCATTATGCACCAAATTCTGAATTAAAATTCAATCAACAAAACAAAAAAAAATTGATCCCAAAATACGTGAATAAGATAACATTCAAAATTACATTCGAACTCAATAATTAAATTTAGTTAAATTGAGCTTTTAAACTAAAGTAAACTTAGCATTTAATTACTTTTTACGGGAAGAAACTTCGTATAGAATTAAAAACAGCTTATTAAAATCGTTAATTTTTTTCTCCTTTTTTTCTCTTAAAACCACTCGATTAAAATTGATAATTTTTAACAATAAAATTGTAACACCTACCTGAAAAAATCATTGATTTTTAATAATAATAAAAAAAGAATTTCATAAATCATTCAATTTTTCATTATGTAGCTATCATGTCTTAATTATTTTAATTTGCGGATTTACTTAAAAACATTATCGAGCCTAAAGTAAATTATCATTCTTTGTTGTTTACAAGAATTAATTACGTTTACGTTAGGATATTTTCTGACTAATTTGCATAATGAAATTTCTTGTGTTAAATTTTCTAAGTAATTATTTGAGAGAGAATTTCCTTCTAACGTAACTATAATTATTGTTTTCGTGATATTTTACTAATTAAATTGCTAATCTTAGAAATTATTGTAGCTCGATATGATAAATATTATTAAAATTACTTTGGGGAATTTTATAAAATTCATTAAAACGAATACTTAATAATTGTTAATTTTAAATATTTTTAAATTATATACTTTTATTTAAAAAAAAAAAACTCAATAATTTATATCTTAATGCAGAATAAACATTTCTTTTTTAATATATTTGCGCTAGAACATTGAAGCGATCTCCGCATCACGTCGCAAAGTACAAGAGATGCGACATGAAATATTAAATAATAATAATAAAAAATTCATTGTAAATTGATAATCTAACTTAGTTTGACCTTTAAAATCTTCAATAGTTATAAATTAAAAAGGATATATAAATTATTAACATTAAAAAGAGCATTCAAATTTTAAACCTAGTTTCATATTAATGCGCGAATATAAATTCAGAAAAAAAATGTATATATTATTCCTCGTGGATATAAGTTTATAAAAATAAAAATTTTAATTAAAAAAATAAATAAAAATCTAATATTTTATAGTATATTTTATTACTGTTTAAACTTAAAAGAGTGAAGAATTTTTACAAAACACGCGTAGAATTATGTTTACTTCAAAATCTTGTAAAGTTGAAAATCTACTCAAAAATCAAGAGATCAAACCTTTTTTTTTATATATATTTTTCTCCTTCGAGTCACCTTATTTATTTTTTTATGCCGAATTTTTCGATATACTTCTTCAGTCGATGCAATTTTTATAGATAGAAAGTCCGTTTAATAATTTATACTTTAACGGTTCAATACGAAAATAAATATTTTTATTAAAAGAAAACGTTTTAAAAATTCGTAGAATATATTCCCAAGCTTTATTCTATACTTTCTAAAATATTGAAAATTATATATAAACATTTTAAGCACACATTTCTCTTCAAAACATTCCCTAAAGCAGCCGTATAACAGTATCTTCGATACGAACCAACCATTATAATAAAAAAAGAACTGTTTATACTGTAAAAGAGTATAATTAACTAATTTTAATATTTTCACATAAACGAAGAGCGAATTATATATTTTAATCACCTCTCATCCTCGGCATATACACTTCAAGTGCAGCTGTGGGCTGTGGCAAACTTGTAGGTGGTGGTATTTCTACAATTAAAAATAAAAATTTAAGATAAGAAAACTTTACTAATTACTAAAAACTTATGCAAATAAGCTCAAAAAGTATATATATATATATATTTCTTTTTTTTTCTTGGCGTTTGAATTAGAAAATAATGAAAGAGAAAGTATTTGTAAAATATTTACATTTAGAAAACATAAGGAAAAATTTGCATATCATTTAATACTTATTCGTTTGTGAGCCTTTTTTTTTTCTAAACTTTCTTACCGTATAATCTGATAAAACCTTCTTTTTCTCCTAATGTATTTTTCGCAACGCATTTGTATGAGCCGAAGTCTCTTTCGTGTAGGTTGTTTATCCTTAGTTTCATTAAAATACGATAGGAATCGTCTTCTTCAGTCAACTGATACTTTTTGTTATTCAAGACAATCATACCGTCATTTCGAATCCAAGATGTCAGCGGGCGAGGCGATGCTTCTAATTTACACTCTAGCAGCACATCTGTACCTGCAGCAGCACCTACTAACTGATTCGGTACTCGGATCTTTGGACGAACTAGGAAAAAAAAACCATTTATTTATAAATATAATCGACTAATTACATATAATTTCACGTAAAATCTATCGTGACATACCGTGCAGTTAAATTACTGAGAAATAAGCAAAAATTTTAATTAGAGTTAGTCTCATTAGAGAAATTGTATAAACATCTTAGAACGTATCTACGAGTATAATATATCGAATATATATATATATATATATACATTTGAAGATTTAATCTGACTACATTCACAAAACTTGTATTTCTTTCTCTTATAGAATGCAAGTAAATCAAATTTTCAATCTTCCCTTCCACACAGGTTCTATTTACCATACAATTTTTTGAAGATTATTTCGATATGTATAGAAAAATATTATAAATAATTATATATTCGGGTTTATATAAATATAATTCCACTATAAAGACGATATATTTGTTGATCTTAAGTTAAAATATCTACTAATATATTTGGTAAAACTAAAAGAATAATATTAAACTAAACGGAAAAATCTTTTCTTCGATGTACTTTTATGTATTATTTTCAGTTTTCATGTTATAGAAGAATCAATACAGAGTTACTCGTACATTCTTTGAAAAATGCTTCAGGCTCTTTTAGAACTAAAAATGCCTCAAGCTACTTCTTCAAAAATGTCGATCCATTTATATGTTAATTTTATTTTTGATATTTTATTGATTTCATAGACTTTTCTATTTTATTATTTCTAAACTTGTGACGTTTGCATTCCTTAAAGAGTTCTTTCTATTAAATAAAATATTTTTTTTTCCTTCTTCTTCTTCTGAAAAATACCTAAAAGTATTTTGTCAGATAAAATAATAAAAAAATGACATTTTTTAACTTTGTTTTTACGTAAAAACTACATTTTTTCATTGTTGTATTTGCTAAATTTGCCGAAATTCCTCATTAAATACGTCACATTACTTTTTAATTAAGTTAATTTTGAGTATATAAGTAGCAAAATAAAGTCGATTTATTTTTCACTTGAATGCTATTCGCTTAATACAATTCTCTATTTCGAAAGCATAACTATAAAGCCATCTGAAACTCCTGCACTTTCTCTCGTGACATTTCTCATCCTCTGTAGACCACGTAGGATATCTTGACGTGACAACTTTCAATGTCAAAATATTGTAAAGGACATTGCATCTTTCTTTCTAAATCTGTTTGGACTTCAATCTCTATTCGATATTTTCTAGAATAAAGCAGTGCGAAGCATAAAGTTGTAATACTATAAATTTCGGATAAAGAAGGAAAAAATAACTTTTTAAGTGTTTTTTAAGGATTCTGAGAAGGATTTCCGGAGATGCAACCATCTTGGTTTCGCTTTCTCAGCTTTATTTCCTCAGATACTGCTCTAAACATCTTTTCTACTGCTTATATACTGTATATATATATATATTTATTTACAACTTAGACCTACCTTTATCCATAATTATAGTAAAAATTTTAATTTATATGGGATACAAATATATTTAATGTAACTAAAATCTTGTTAACTGTCCAGAGAACGCAGGGAACAGAGTTAATGAATTATAATAGGAAGTTTAAATTTGTTTATGCATATAATTGATTAGAATCAATTATTTACATTATAAATTATTAAATTGCAATCAAATCAAAGTTGATTACATAAATAATCATTTGTTTCTATTATAACAACATATATTTTGCTTATCAAGTTCTTATCATCCTCTTAGAATTTAAATTATTTAATTAAAATTTATGTCCTCAAGAATATGAGAAATTAATTGTTTTTTTATTAATAATAATTAGGTCTATACTAAGAAATTTATCATTAGCAAATTTTATAAATAATTAATAAGCTACATATAAAAATAAATATATTATTTGCTTAAAGCATAAATTTTACAAAAAAATTTTTAAAAAATAGACACTATACTTTAATTGAGACACTTTAAAAGAGGTTGCGATCGTTAAATTCTATAAAATAAAAAGATCTTGCTACTTATTTGTTATCTAATAGCTCTATAAATAGAATTATGATGGGCCATAAATTTAAATTATTTATTTAAAGTTGTTTGAAATGATTTAGAAGCTAACTTAAAGTGTAGATGACATTTTATATTGTCTATAAAATAATATGCATCCAGTTTAACTTAGTTATAAAAGTTATTAATAAAGAAAACACAGGAGAAAGAGGAGAGAGAAAAAATTCAAGTTTAGCTTCCAATTTATCATTAGTTATTTCTAAGAATTGAATTGTAAAATAGTAAATAGATTGCTTATTTTATCGTTTTATCGAAGCAGAAACTCTCGTGCATTGAAGTGATTATTGATTGAAGTTCTGAGTTTGTCTATAATGACAACGTTTATTCCTGTTTAACCACTCTCCAAATGTGCAGCTTGTTACGAAGATTGCGCATGAATTCTTCTTTAGAGGTTAGAAACAAGCATTATCAAGAAAAGTAAAGATATAAGTTAAAACGAATAAAGTACTTACAATTCACTTGCAACATTATCCTCTTACTAACCGAAGGAGGTATGCCATTGGAAGCAATACACAGATACGCTCCCATATCGTCTCTAGTGACTTGAGTTATGTTAAGGTATTCTCCTTCCACCTTAGCTAAAAATAAAAGAATAATAAAAAAAGATGATATAGATATATATCACGAAGAAAGGAAAGTATCGAATTACAAAAACTAAACAATTATTTTAAAACTGTAAAAGGCGCTGCACTTTAATATTGCTTTGTTGTAAATGTGTAACAGATGGGCAGAGTTCGCACGAAAAAGGAATGCTCTATTATTTCACTCGATTTAAAGGTTCGTTGGTAATATTATGAGGTAAACATAGCATAGACGAAAAGAAAGGGCTATTTATCTTGGCTGTTTGGTGCAGATGCGTATTCTCCCTCCGTACAACGTATTCATCTGCCAAATACCAGCGGGCATCTTCCCATCGAATACTTCCCACATAAATACAAGAGGTCAGAAAACATTACAAATATTACAGACATGAGCGTATGTGTGTGCTTTCTATCATCTGTAAAGCAAAAGAATCAGTCGTCTTACTAATGATTGCTAGGTATAGATGTGCAACCCGTGTGAAATATTAAAGAGTCGAGGTACATCCGTTTCCTGCAATTGTTTGGATATCGATTTTAAATAGAGGCGATGTTAATGATGAAGTGAACGATGCTCCTACTCTCTGCTTTAGATGTGTAATAATGTTTGCTTAGTTTTCGACTTAAATGGGTTTGTTGCGTTTGATATTACTGTAATAGTCTACATGCGAATTTATCTACGATATGCTCATAAATATATTTTCTGAATATATTTTTAACTTTACATTTATATCTTTCTCTCTTGTAAGCTTTAATTTTCTTCAATTTTCAAACCTTTCTATCATAATATTTGTCTATTCAATGTTTATATCGTGTCAGTAAATACATTAATAATATGAAATAACATATTTCTACTATAATATGTTTAAAATGTATTTTCTTAAGTAAATTTTTAAAAAATTCTTTCTATTTTCAAACGAAAAGATTAAAAAATCTGCAATTTATTACTCATTATTATTACATTAAAACGTTAATTAAAACAATTTAAATTGCTGTTCTATATCAGAAACTTAACCTAATTTTTGTTACTCATTAAGATCCGTAACATATGTAATAATTTTAATATATTAATTTCAAATCAGTAATAATGATTATGACATCACATTAATAAATATTACTATTACAATTATATTAATAGAGCTATGTAAAATTGAATTTACTCAATTCATAATAGCTCCGTTCAGTAAATCTGTTATATTAAAGTTACGTAGAAGACTGTTAATATATAAATTACAGTAATTCATGTGTAAAGAAATTAATCTTTCCTATAGCAATATCTATCATATCGATACTATAATTATAGTAGTAAACTCGATATATTCACCACGTCATGCAAAAGGGTAAACGTCAAATTTCGAAGTTTATTACATTCACTAACAATTAAAATATAATTAACGACATTTTATAATATAGCAATCGCGTTAAACTGTTTGCTTTAGCGATAGCTTCACATGAATACACTTTTCTATGTTTGCTAACTTTTACATGTACATGGGCGCAGGTTGACTTATGTGAGTAAACACTTTCAGCGATTGCCATTTTCTCTGCGTCTTTTCTGTATGTTTTTTCAACTCAACTAAGTCAACAAAATGTCATGTACAGATTCTTACACGCCATATATGAACCTATATTTATTAAACTGTTCGAGAAAACATTGTATAAATTTGTTCGAGTGTTGTCTTTCACCTTTCTTACTCTTAATATTTAGTAGTTTTGGTAAGAGAAAAAAACATTAAATATATCTACTTTCCTTTATAGCTTTTTCTATATAATCTACAATTAAATAAAGAGTAAATTAAGGTTTTTAATGCTACATAAAATACATTATTGGTGGGAGAGAAGAGAGAGAAGGAGGGAGGAGGATGAGGATGAGAGATGATGGAAGAGGACTAAGAGGTGTTTCATTCATTTAATTAAAATTATATTAATTTAAAACGAATTAAAACTCGAATCTCTTGTTAAAAGATAAGAAAATTTAATTGTAAATGTAAAATTAATGATTGTTTAAAGCTATCTTTGCCAAAAATTTCGTAACGAAACAAAGAAAAAGTGATGCTTGCGTAGCAAAATCTTTATCAATTTAACATTTCTTATAATCGTAAAGCATCTAAAACTGATGTTATCATCTTTACACCGGTTATTATAAATAATAAAAATTATCAATAATAATAATCAATAAAATTCTACTATCAGAAAACAAAGAAGAATTCTGAATACCAACTTCATCCGAGCGAAACAGAAAAAAATATTTCTTAGATTTATTTATTAAGGAATGAATGCATTCGTCTAGCTTTATAGATTATTTGCAAAAACTTTCCGCTAAAGAAAAAAGGGGAAAAATAACAATAAAAATAATAAAAAATAACATTGTTTAATATCATTTTTTTTATTTTTCTATATNAATGGATATATATCTGTTGGAAATCGTATACTTGAAAATTTTATATTTTTTTCGTATTTTAAAATAATAAACAATCCAAAAAGATCAGTTTCAATGTTTTAAAGGGTTTTTACATTACCAAAAATTATACAGTACAAATTAATAACTAATGTGATTAATGTGATCATTTCTTATAATTTCAATACATCAAACCACAGTTTTGCTCAGTGAATAATGTACTGTACAGATGGCTACAAAGTCTCCTCATCCCCTTTTATATAATTGATCACTATATACTGATCATACACTACATCATACAAACACTCCTGCGGTTTAGAGAAGAAACTCTAGCACTAGAAACAAAGGATAAACCAAGAAGTAGCAGCTCTTCAACAAGAGGAGAATGGTGCAGACAATTTGAAGAGCTTCATATCAGGAGTTCAAATTAAAATTCGAAATCTCTCGATCGATAATGTATAAACAAATAATTTATACAGTAAAACCTATCTAAAACCGACCTAAATAAAATGAAAACCTGCCTAAACGAAGAAAAATAATTCCGGTTTTCACGGGTTTTTTACCAATTTCACATAAAGATAACGGTGCTTCCAGGCAATCCTAAAGGATTCTGTGAGGAAGATCGGATTACGCATAACACAGAAATTTGTGAGAATTCATAATATTTAATTTAAAATTAGAGCTTATAATTGCACATTCTGTAGCTAAATTTGAATAATGTATAAGTTTTTTTTTTTTTTTAGTTTTTCCCTTAAAGAATCCTTACCGTAAACAAGAAGTGTTGCATTTACTCATTATGCACCAAATTCTGAATTAAAATTCAATCAACAAAACAAAAAAAAATTGATCCCAAAATACGTGAATAAGATAACATTCAAAATTACATTCGAACTCAATAATTAAATTTAGTTAAATTGAGCTTTTAAACTAAAGTAAACTTAGCATTTAATTACTTTTTACGGGAAGAAACTTCGTATAGAATTAAAAACAGCTTATTAAAATCGTTAATTTTTTTCTCCTTTTTTTCTCTTAAAACCACTCGATTAAAATTGATAATTTTTAACAATAAAATTGTAACACCTACCTGAAAAAATCATTGATTTTTAATAATAATAAAAAAAGAATTTCATAAATCATTCAATTTTTCATTATGTAGCTATCATGTCTTAATTATTTTAATTTGCGGATTTACTTAAAAACATTATCGAGCCTAAAGTAAATTATCATTCTTTGTTGTTTACAAGAATTAATTACGTTTACGTTAGGATATTTTCTGACTAATTTGCATAATGAAATTTCTTGTGTTAAATTTTCTAAGTAATTATTTGAGAGAGAATTTCCTTCTAACGTAACTATAATTATTGTTTTCGTGATATTTTACTAATTAAATTGCTAATCTTAGAAATTATTGTAGCTCGATATGATAAATATTATTAAAATTACTTTGGGGAATTTTATAAAATTCATTAAAACGAATACTTAATAATTGTTAATTTTAAATATTTTTAAATTATATACTTTTATTTAAAAAAAAAAAACTCAATAATTTATATCTTAATGCAGAATAAACATTTCTTTTTTAATATATTTGCGCTAGAACATTGAAGCGATCTCCGCATCACGTCGCAAAGTACAAGAGATGCGACATGAAATATTAAATAATAATAATAAAAAATTCATTGTAAATTGATAATCTAACTTAGTTTGACCTTTAAAATCTTCAATAGTTATAAATTAAAAAGGATATATAAATTATTAACATTAAAAAGAGCATTCAAATTTTAAACCTAGTTTCATATTAATGCGCGAATATAAATTCAGAAAAAAAATGTATATATTATTCCTCGTGGATATAAGTTTATAAAAATAAAAATTTTAATTAAAAAAATAAATAAAAATCTAATATTTTATAGTATATTTTATTACTGTTTAAACTTAAAAGAGTGAAGAATTTTTACAAAACACGCGTAGAATTATGTTTACTTCAAAATCTTGTAAAGTTGAAAATCTACTCAAAAATCAAGAGATCAAACCTTTTTTTTTATATATATNAATTTAAAAATAAAAAAAAAAATCTTATACTTTTGAGAATTTATTACTTTTTCATTATGTTAAAATATTTTTCTAAAATAACTCGAATTTGACGTTGAAAACAAAGTACTTTGCATTTAAAAACGATATTTTTCAACAAGTAGGTCGCGATCCCGGATATCGTGAATTATCTTTCTCAGTACCTTTCACTGCGCTTCGAAATTGATAGAAATTATTATTTTATACAGCTTTTTCTGTAATTTTTATGATAAATTTATATTTAAAACGTGATACAAATCTTTGAATTTAACCAGGAATTTAATCGAATGTTGTTAAAGAATATTGTTATATTAAAATATTGCTTGACAAATAACAAGTGAAATTTAGGAATTAAATTTAATGAATTTTGAATATTTTGAAAATAAATTTAATCATAAAAGTTAAGAAAAAATAAAATAAATAAAAGAAATTGTTGCTTATGTTATGCCGTTTCTTTAATATAATCTCGAGATAATCCAAATAATTCAAGCACATCATGGCCACTAAACACTGGTAGTTGGTCGCGGGTTCGCACTTCACCTACGTCTGGTCACGTAGAGTTTTCCGCGTTTTCTTCACGTGTCTAACATCTAAATAGGAGCCATTTTCCCATACAAAGTCCTCTCAGGGGGTGCCTCACCCCCCTTAACAGGTACTTCGCCCATGTTGTCTTATTCCATCTATCCAAATAATTCAAAGCAGAAAACAAAAATTTTAGAAAAAACGAATAAAAATTCTAAATTAAAAATTTGCTATATAATACAGTTCAAAATCATAAATAGTTTCAGCAGCATTCTTTTTCAAAGCTAAGATTTTTTTTTTGTATTGTATGATTGGAATTACAAATTTCCAAGCAATAACTTGATATTATTTTGCAATTCGAGTTATTTTTTTTACGATGCCAAAACTCAAACTTTAGTTTGTTAATAATAAAGTAGCTAATAATCATTAAATGTATAATAAACATGTAAGGTAAGGAAATGTGACATTAAGACAGAAGCAGCAGTCATAATAACATTGTACCTGCCTGAGGGGTTACAATCGTAAGACAAGAGAATAAAACGGCCGAGAATTGCTATAAAAGTCAGAAGTCTTATAATAGTTCGAAGGAAAAATATGATCCTTATTGATTACAGTTATATTGTAGTCAATTTGCTGCAGGGCAGTTCCGTTCCACTGCTTATAATACCCCGGAGTGGTGTAAGCTTTACGATTTGCTTGTTCAACTTATGTAAGAGAAGGATTCGGACGTTCATGACTAAGAAATGACAGGGCAATAATCCGAATCGGTCCTACAACATTGGATAATAAGATTTTACTATCAGTTAGGAGCGACATTGCTTTGTTTGGTAGGTGCTGGAGTAACCATAACTTTCTCTCTTAAACTAGTTGCTGATGTCCATTTTACTCTCATTTCTCCATTTGCTTTTATCCTTATAAACAAAAGTTAACTTTGTTTATTTTTGCAACCGAATTGTACAGAAAAGACCTCTTTGCCTTTTCGTTAAGTTTATAAGGAATTTGTAAAAGCAAACAATTTTAATTTTGAAATTCCTTTCCGGCAAATATTTAAAGAATTTTTTTAAAATACCTTCGACTTTGATATTAATTTATCATCAATTATTTATCTTATATTTATCTTAGAAGATCAGAAAAATGGTCATACAGTTTCTCTCTTTTTTTTTTTTCCTCCTTGTTTCTAATCCGGAAACTTAAAGTATAAAAATTGATCTCGTTTGCTTTTATTTTATTCTTGTTCTTAATCTCGGCTCAGAAAAGAAACAGAACAACTTTTCTGTCTTCATCTTCTATCTTTTCAATTTGAAAAATATAGAAAATTTTATATTTTTCAACTTTCCTTTTTCAATTAAATTCACTCGAAAATTCCGAAAAAATTGTTTAAAAACATACTTCTGTTAGCACTCGTTTTTCTATAATTTCATCAATTAAAAAAGGAAAAATTAAAATTAAAATTAAATTGGAAGATATAAAAAGTAGTATAGGATATGATTCACCTTTCAAAAAATTCTAGAATTATTCTTAAAATAGTTTCTTAAAACTGACTGAGAACTATTTCTCCCAATATTAAACGTACAATAACCATAAAATAGGGTTTAGTGGAATGACCGTAAAAGTGTCAAGTTTAAAAGTGCGACTAAATTATCATACGATGGGAATGATTTGTGATTTAGGCTTCTATAGTTTATGACCGAAAGATAGAGAAGAGAACAAAAAGAAAAAAAAAATGAGAGAGAGAGAGAGAGGGAAAAATAGTAGGATTTTCTTGACGTTACGCACCATTGGAAAGATTTTAACAATACCCCCCTGCATTTAATGTTTATGAATAATTTAAAAAAACATTTTTAAAAAAATATATTTGAAAAAACAGTTGCTTAATATTTAATTTACCTGCGTGTTTTTTCCCACCGTATGGACTCAAATTAATATCCTTTCCGTCTTCTCTTCTCCATGTTATTGTTGGTGTTGGATAACCAGAAGCTGTGCATCTCAGGCTGACCTTTGACCTCTCATCAATCATTGTATCGGAACTTGTTTTTTCTTCCAGAATAGAAGGAGGAACTATAAAAAATAATTGTTTTCCTCAACGACAGATGTCGCCACAAGCTATGTCAAAAATTCTCATTATACTCTTACTCCTTAATATAAATATTTCATTTCTAAAAAATTTCATTTAAACACATGACGCTATTTTTAATAACGATAATAAAATTCCTAATTTTTTCAAATTTAAAAATAAAAAAAAAAATCTTATACATTTGAGAATTTATTACTTTTTCATTATGTTAAAATATTTTTCTAAAATAACTCGAATTTGACGTTGAAAACAAAGTACTTTGCATTTAAAAACGATATTTTTCAACAAGTAGGTCGCGATCCCGGATATCGTGAATTATCTTTCTCAGTACCTTTCACTGCGCTTCGAAATTGATAGAAATTATTATTTTATACAGCTTTTTCTGTAATTTTTATGATAAATTTATATTTAAAACGTGATACAAATCTTTGAATTTAACCAGGAATTTAATCGAATGTTGTTAAAGAATATTGTTATATTAAAATATTGCTTGACAAATAACAAGTGAAATTTAGGAATTAAATTTAATGAATTTTGAATATTTTGAAAATAAATTTAATCATAAAAGTTAAGAAAAAATAAAATAAATAAAAGAAATTGTTGCTTATGTTATGCCGTTTCTTTAATATAATCTCGAGATAATCCAAATAATTCAAGCACATCATGGCCACTAAACACTGGTAGTTGGTCGCGGGTTCGCACTTCACCTACGTCTGGTCACGTAGAGTTTTCCGCGTTTTCTTCACGTGTCTAACATCTAAATAGGAGCCATTTTCCCATACAAAGTCCTCTCAGGGGGTGCCTCACCCCCCTTAACAGGTACTTCGCCCATGTTGTCTTATTCCATCTATCCAAATAATTCAAAGCAGAAAACAAAAATTTTAGAAAAAACGAATAAAAATTCTAAATTAAAAATTTGCTATATAATACAGTTCAAAATCATAAATAGTTTCAGCAGCATTCTTTTTCAAAGCTAAGATTTTTTTTTTGTATTGTATGATTGGAATTACAAATTTCCAAGCAATAACTTGATATTATTTTGCAATTCGAGTTATTTTTTTTACGATGCCAAAACTCAAACTTTAGTTTGTTAATAATAAAGTAGCTAATAATCATTAAATGTATAATAAACATGTAAGGTAAGGAAATGTGACATTAAGACAGAAGCAGCAGTCATAATAACATTGTACCTGCCTGAGGGGTTACAATCGTAAGACAAGAGAATAAAACGGCCGAGAATTGCTATAAAAGTCAGAAGTCTTATAATAGTTCGAAGGAAAAATATGATCCTTATTGATTACAGTTATATTGTAGTCAATTTGCTGCAGGGCAGTTCCGTTCCACTGCTTATAATACCCCGGAGTGGTGTAAGCTTTACGATTTGCTTGTTCAACTTATGTAAGAGAAGGATTCGGACGTTCATGACTAAGAAATGACAGGGCAATAATCCGAATCGGTCCTACAACATTGGATAATAAGATTTTACTATCAGTTAGGAGCGACATTGCTTTGTTTGGTAGGTGCTGGAGTAACCATAACTTTCTCTCTTAAACTAGTTGCTGATGTCCATTTTACTCTCATTTCTCCATTTGCTTTTATCCTTATAAACAAAAGTTAACTTTGTTTATTTTTGCAACCGAATTGTACAGAAAAGACCTCTTTGCCTTTTCGTTAAGTTTATAAGGAATTTGTAAAAGCAAACAATTTTAATTTTGAAATTCCTTTCCGGCAAATATTTAAAGAATTTTTTAAAAATACCTTCGACTTTGATATTAATTTATCATCAATTATTTATCTTATATTTATCTTAGAAGATCAGAAAAATGGTCATACAGTTTCTCTCTTTTTTTTTTTCCTCCTTGTTTNTAGTGGGCATTAGCATAAATCCTTTTGGGAAAATAATGCGTTGAGAGGAAGTAGATATTACAATAAATTTTTTTCCAATTTCGTCGTGTATCATCATGATTTAATATGATTATTCATGCGGATGGAAACGTAAACGTATTTTTGACTTTTCGCTCGAATAATTTCCGATTTTTATACTGTTTTTTTTTTCTTTCTTCCGAAGAAATTAAATGTTGATTTTATGTAAGAGGTAATGCAATGACATAATTTCCTCTTCCTTTTCTTTTTTTTTTTACTTTTTCCTCTTCCCTCCTCCCTTCTTTCTTCATATGGTTATTGTTTTTAGGCTGACTGAGAACTATTTCTCCCAATATTAAACGTACAATAACCATAAAATAGGGTTTAGTGGAATGACCGTAAAAGTGTCAAGTTTAAAAGTGCGACTAAATTATCATACGATGGGAATGATTTGTGATTTAGGCTTCTATAGTTTATGACCGAAAGATAGAGAAGAGAACAAAAAGAAAAAAAAAATGAGAGAGAGAGAGAGAGGGAAAAATAGTAGGATTTTCTTGACGTTACGCACCATTGGAAAGATTTTAACAATACCCCCCTGCATCGAGATGGTTTGACCAATTGGAATTCAGGTTACTCTTGTAGAGTTCATGGTGCGTATGATTTGTTTTAGCAGAATCCATTTTATATAGATCTCCCTTTAATAGGGATCAAACGGTAAAAATAATTCCGTTTTACGACTATTCATTTGTATATATATATTAAGTATATCGTAAAGTTACGACAAGAATTTCGTCATTAAAACTGTTATATTATTTAAATTTACTTACCCGTAACATCCAAGTAACCGTGCTGGCTAACCATGGGCTCTGTATTAATCTGACACATGTAAAATCCCTGATCAGATACTTGCAGATCGCGAATGTGAAGATACCATTGCCTATGATTACTGTTCGTTACGCGTATCCTGGTATCTCTAGTGATCACGCGGTTATGGATGGTGAGTAAAGTTTGCGTATCCATTTTGATCCATGCCACCTAAAAAACAGAATAATAAATAATAATAAAATAACTTTTATTTAAAATATTTATTTATCAAATTATTTAAGCAAAAATCATGAAGGATAAGTGAAAAATTTCATCCTCATCCCAACTATGGGTGTCCACAGAGAGGGGGAAATGAGGCAGTTGTCCCCCTCTGGAATCAGTCGTAAAACTGATTGAGATACGTAACTTTACACCCTTGACTATGAGACGCTTTGTCTGTCTTTTTGCATTGATACAATACTGTACTCTATAATATACTTTACGAAAAACAACCTCAAAAACTCAGTGGCACGTTATCCTACTGGTAAATGCCTACCAGTGGCCAAGCGGTTCCGTTCCCTGAACACTGGAAGTTCGGTCGTGGGTTCGCACCTCGCAAGGGCGGGCTGGCCACATGGAGTTTTCCGGGTCTTCTCTACGTCTGTAACGCCTGAATAGGGGTCAGTTACACTTAAAAAGACTTCCCGGAAGGCATTTTCAGATCGCTCAAGTATTGCGTTACCATAACTTAATAAAACAAACAAACCTACGGGTAAAAGAGACTATTGCTTGGGGGCCTCAAACTAATCTTTTACAAGAAAATATTTCCTCCAAAAAATCCCTCCGAAAAAATGTCTGATATCAACACTGTAAATACATGGTGCCCCCTAATTCAAATTCGTCTAAGTATCATGAAGTTATAACATGCCACTGCAAAAAAATAAATAATTAAATAAAAATTTACTGCTGTAATTATTTGTCTCCAAGCTTTGTTCCCCGAAAAGTTTTCTGCGGACACCCATGCTCCCAACTTATAAAAATCTTAATTCATAACTCCTTTATGGAGTTTATTCTGTAGATGATAATTTAAGTAAAATATATGCAAATTCTAATTCTAGATAAATTTCAATGAAATATAATCTGAGTAATTCCGAGACGAAATTAAGTTTTGGAGTGTAATGATGACGTAAGTTGCTCAATTTTCAACCCAACGTAATGGCGAATTTTAACGAAAATTGAAGTTTATTCGGTTATGTTAATAAAACACGATCTGATATAATTATAATAGAAAATTTTCAAATTGCGTTAAAATTGCTAAATAACAAAGGTTAAGATAATAATTTTAATATCAACATAAGGAAAGTTTAATTGAATTTTGATGAAAATTTGACAATTTTAATATAACAATTAGTCATTGTTGTAGTAACGTTATAAATGATCTTAAATGTATTGTTTGTTATCTATCCGAACAGAAGGCTAAATCTAGAATAGGTTGGCAACTTTAATGTTAACAATGTCACATCATAATTAGAATATCAATTAATACAATATCGTTAAAGATTTAAATGCAAGAATTTGAAAGTAATCATCGATACTACGCCAGTTTCTCAAGCGGTAGATCGCGGGTGCTACTGAGTAACGTTACAGAAATTTAATTTAATGTGAAATCGAAGAACTTAAGTTGCACATGTTTATAAATAACACGACGATGTAAAAAAGGCGTATATTTAATTAAAAAATTGAATTTTCGATATTGAAGCAGTTATATATTTAAAAATACGCTTCTAAATTTTGATTTTCCAATCAGTAGGCCGCGAATTCATATTCTCGAATAGGAATTAATTAAATAAATAAATGAGTTAAAGTACAGTACCTTGGAACCTTAACGAAGCAGTTTAAATCAAATTTTAATAACAACACAGCTGCCGAAAAAATGTTTTTTTCCCTTTTTTTGCAATTATATGACATTGTAGTAGTTATAAACTATACACGAACAATAAAGAACCTTTAGAGGAATGCCAATTCGTTCCGTCATGCGAAAGCAAACATTCCTGTATAAGGACATCATGCAAGAGGAATTTGCTACATATTACGTATCCATTAATAACTACCGCTATCAATTTTAATACCTTCTACAAATCCTGAAGATATATTACTCCATCAGGATTAACATACAGGATTTACTCTGCAAGAATTTATTTAATTTGATCTTTCTAATCTAAATACATTCTAGTTATTTAAATATCAGTCAGTTTGTTTTTTTTATTTTTTACTTTTGTTATTTATTGTTAATTTACATTTTTGTCTGTATACCACTCATTCCTTTGCTTCTGCCAGCAGAATTATTGCCCGTTGTGGAGTTATATATCAATAGAATTATTCTGTCACCTGTAGTGGGCATTAGCATAAATCCTTTTGGGAAAATAATGCGTTGAGAGGAAGTAGATATTACAATAAATTTTTTTCCAATTTCGTCGTGTATCATCATGATTTAATATGATTATTCATGCGGATGGAAACGTAAACGTATTTTTGACTTTTCGCTCGAATAATTTCCGATTTTTATACTGTTTTTTTTTTTCTTTCTTCCGAAGAAATTAAATGTTGATTTTATGTAAGAGGTAATGCAATGACATAATTTCCTCTTCCTTTTCTTTTTTTTTCTTTTTCCTCTTCCCTCCTCCCTTCTTTCTTCATATGGTTATTGTTTTTAGGAAGGAGTTAAGAATTTAATTACGAGTTAATCATTTTGTTTCAAATTCGGTGGAAGGTGATAAAACGTAGTTATGATGTAATTGTATCTAATGTGCAGTGATTAAATTATGATGGTTGCATTAAATTAATTTCATTTGTTCTGCGAATTGAGAGAAAACCGTGATGACGTAACCGGATAAAATTTTCTTTAAAATGATTTACGTAACGATGTGTTTTTATTAAATTGTCTTATCTATGATATTATTTTAAATTTAGAAAGATAAATGAGTTTATAACTACAAAAAACTAATTTGTAACTAATAAAGGAACTTGAATTGAGATGAACTAAAGTATTGTATAAATAGGAATAAAGGAAAATGTATAAAAATTTTAAAAAGTATTCTCTTTGAATATAAACCTTATCAAAAAATAGACATAATTCATCACAAAAGTAGAACAGTGATTAGACTAGATTGAATTACTTGATTAAGCCATGGGAGATGTGTCAAGGGGTGTGCCTCATGGAAGGACTTTCTATGGAAAATTGGCTCCTATTTAGGCGTTAGACACGTGAAGAAAACGAAGAAAACTTCACGTGGTCAGCGTGTCGTTGGGACGAACCCATGACTAAGCAATGATCAGTGGTGTTGTCCACTCGGCCAATGGTAGGCATAGATGGAGAGATCAAGAACACTTTGTGCTAGAACGAAACCGTTCCTAGCCTAAACCAGAATTATTCATATTAATGATAATTAGTCGGATTAAGGATATTTCAATCCCTAGGTAAAATACGAGATCCGAGCCCAAAAAACAGTCATTAATTTTATTTGTTACATCTATCAGTGGACTCTTGGAGAAGGCTGCGAGTGTTACTGTGTGTCACAATGTTCATTATACATTTTAAATTTTATTTGTTTGTATATAAACTTACAAACAGATCTACAGACTGTAAGATCCGACTCTAAACAACTGCCTAGTTTTTCCAGACCTAAGTCCAGTCCTAATGATAATGATGATAAAAAATAAAAGAGAGAAACTGATAGAGAGGGTTGGAAGGGAAAAAAAAAACTACACAGCAGCCTGATCAGTCTACCATACAGCAAAACAGTAATTAAATTAGTTAACTACACAACAGTAACTAAATTAATTAATTTTTCAATTTCAAACATATCAAAATTTTTAAATTTTTCCGAAACAATTTTTAAATTTCGTTTACTTATTTTTAGAAAGGAAACAAAGTTACTTAATACATCTTTTATAATATAAAAATTGTTGATGAAAGTATATATAGATTAATGCCTATACGTTTGCTTACACGCTTTAAATTCTATTTTCGAAAATATAATAAATTTCAAGCATGACGGAATGTTTTAATTGAATTATGAAGATTTAAAGCCGATCTCCGACGTAATATTCTGTTTTCGTTTGATTTATGTAGTACATTAAGATGGATTCCTTTTTTTAATTAAATAATTAAATCGTGACGCAACGTGTTTAATTATTTTACCAAAGGGTTTATATGTAAAAATTATCATCTAATGATTAATTTAAAATCACGATAAAAATGCCTCGATTGGATTTGCAATTTATAAATTCATTCGTGTTAATCTGAATTAGAAATTTGTTTTGTCTTAATATTAAAATCAAATTAAACACGAAAAGTTCAAAAAATCGTAAAATACTTAAATTGCTATTAATTTAAATTAGTCTTTATCAACTTTTCCTTAGAAATCGTCTCCTAAATACAATTATCGTAAGTTATTCATAAGAAGGACATGTCCTACATTTTAACCTTAAAAATGTCCTCTCTCTATATAAAAAACGTCAAAGAATTAAGTAATTCTAAAAACAATACAATAACTACTGTAACTTTTTTGTAATATAAAGTTATTTAAATTATCATTCTTTAAACCTCAAGTCAATTCAAACACATCTGTAACATCCTCCTTGTCATCCATTTCTGATTTTTCGTCTGATAATCCTACCCCTATAGGACTTTTAAATTTGCTGTGTTTTTCTAATCACCCCTAACAAAATTTAATAAAATAATTTACTTCATACTTTTATTTATCTGCAATATTTAAAATTAAATACCATTCCTGGGATGGTGTGATTTCCAATACTTTTTGGCGCATGAAACTAATTTCTATCCCCAGAAATACATTTCATCCCCCATACGGAACACTAATTTGTAAGCTTAATAAACTTATATTGCATTATTACGTGTTACAGACATGTAAAGTATGTTTACGTCTTGAAGACTTCGCATTAAGAATAAAATATTTTTTCAAACTCTACTAAGAAACTTGCAATCCTGAAAATGCATTTCTTCCCGCATGCAATAAAATTGTTGGCCACATCAACTAAAAATATTTTGCTATAACTTAAATATTGGACATCTTACTTCACTGCGTTATCTCTCTCCTCATGTATAACACAAGTATACCTGTGGGCCAATATATTATAAGCTTATAGATCTATATTACCTAATAATTTCTATGTATAAATTCGTTATAAAGATGCATCTCGGCTTATCT